AATATTTTTCCAAATATATTCAACATTACATAATTTAACATTATATGTATTATATAGATTTAAAATAATGATTTGCAAGAAACAATTTTTATAATATAAAAGTTAACATATTCACCAAAAATTATAATCAAATATGTTGCTTAATTCTAATGTGATGCAATTAAGACTGCTTATTCATTTTCGTTCGCCTTATTTATGTGTAAACTAACAGCGTGACTTTTATTTGCACATACTGAGTATTTTTTGTTATGTTAGCGAAGCTATGCTTACTTGATATATTAATTATGTACAAAAGAAACAAATTTTACACCATACTTTTTTGCAAAACCGAGATATATTCACAAATTTGGCACAAAAAATAAATTAATATATTTACATATAATTAAAGATGTCTCGTTTTACAATGTGCAACAACATTGATACAAACGTTTTTATTTTGAGATTTATATGTGACGCAAAATAGCTTGCTAATATAATATAGTCGTTCAAGTTAGTCAATTAAATAATTGTTTTTCTAGAATACAAAATACATAAGTGACTATTCATTTACCGACTTTTCCTAATTTTGTATCCGTTTTCGGATTAGCCGTTATATTTTGCACAGCGACTATTGTTTCATTGATACTTGTCTGAAGATCCCTGAGATCTTGGATATACAACAAGGAGAGGCCTTTAGCAGCATTGTCCAACATTGCATCGCCCATATTAAAACTGGGCCCTATAATCATCTTCGTTTGGGTTTTACCCTTGGTGTTCACAGTATTATTAGATTGTTTAATCGCATCTGCATTTAGCTTTTTACACACAAGTTTGCTGCATGCTTCTAACGTCACAAGATGATTAGAATGCTTTGGTATATTCAATAATTTGGCTATTGAGTTAACTCCAGTCTTAAAAGCGTCACTATTAACTAAAAAAATAAAATTGTAAAATATAGATTATATTACATATACGATACATTATTGCATGAAATATCATTGCGAGTTGTACTTACAATCTAAATTATCTAAAGGGTTTGTAGACTTGATAATAGGTTTTATCTCCTTCTTATTCTTTGCTTTCTTTCCTACAACTTGTTGATATTTAGAACCTAAAAAAATATATATAATATTTTATCAGTATATTTATTAAGTTTATTAATAATTAATAACCTCATACTATTGTAAAATTTATGTTTATAATTTATTATAAATATGTCTTTGAAATATTTATTTCATGTTATTTCAAGCAAATTTTACTTACAATCATCTCCAAATTCCAGTTGAATAGCATATCCTATAAGCCATTCTAACCGATCAATCTCATTGTTTGTTAGTGGACACTCAACATCATTGCAATATTTTTCAAAAGTGTTCGGCCATTCTGGAGATGTGATATCCCTCAATTTCTTACGATCATCTGGAGTATAATGACGTATCTTCTGATCCTCTAACCATATAATCACTCTTCTGAAGTGATCAGTATCTAAAACATATAACAATATTGATGTTGTATTTCTTAAAAGCTTTGGTCCATTTTACAAATAACAGATGCAGCATTTTTATGATCAAAACATTCTTAGTAATAAAAAAAAACTTCTGTAAAACGTCTGTAAAACTTTTTAAATTTTAAACAATTCATTAACACTACTAAGTAACAAGCATAGGGTGGAATATAAAATACAATCTCATAAGCAGAGATAAATATCGTGTAACATATATCATTTATAAATATAATTAATATTTTGCAATTTTTCACGGATTTAAATAGTGTATAACAAAATTTGTAGAGTATCGCGCGTAGGTTATGACATGTATCAGAAGTCGCTCACCATTGCCGTTGGTCTTTTTCCAGTCTAAGTAGCCAAGCGCCTTTAATTTCCTTTCGAACATGTTAGTCATTTGCGAACGAGAGATCGGTGGAACGGTTGCTTCTAAAGTCAAGTGATAGAAAAATCCAAAAGTGTCGAAAAGTTGACTCTGATTCTTTCAGGCGGCTCCAAAAAAATATCGCATATCACCCCGGAATACTCTTGTTCCCGAGCGGTGATAGCGGGTAGTAACGATGCGTGAGGCAGCCTGAAGGGGGCGAGGCGGGGCGCGAACAGCGAGCAGGTGGCACGCTTGTCTATCGGCGCTCGGTTCTCAGTGGCGCCACCGTCGCGTTGCGAGAGAGTTGCGCGTGCGATGTGCGCGGCAATATTCGCATCCAGGAATCACAGCACGGCGGGCCAGAGCGGGGCGAGTGGGGCAGCGGATGACAATGATGGCCGCCACCAGCGATGAACGGAGTGTATGGAGCCTGGGAGGACGAATTCGGGACAAGGCCAGCCAGTGGATCGACTGAAGCTGCTCTACCCTATGGTTGACGAGGAGAAGACACCGCTGCCGCGTTCCTGGAGCACCAAGGACAAGTACAGCTACATAGGCTTGTCGCAAAACAATCTTCGCGTTCACTACAAAGGTACGTGGGTAGACCGTCAGCGCGCGACCTCCGCGGCGTGCGAGACGAAACGCGCTTCTCCCTCGTGCGTAAGCAGCGTTTCCCCCTCGTCGCATCGCATCGCATCGCATCGCATCGCGTCGCGGGCCATCCCGGACGCCGTCCCCCGGCCTCGTGCCTCGTGCCTGCGATCGGGCTGCTCCCGGGGCAGGCACGGTCGATCGATTGAAAATGGCAGGGCGCTTTTCAGCGCGTGTCAGCGACCTAAACAAAGGAATCAGCTGATCAGTCAGCCAGTCCCCTCGCGATCGGGCCCGTACGCATCGCCGTCGTTGTCGACGTCGATGTCGACGACAACATCGACGTCGACGTTAACGTTAATGTGATGGTCGCGTCTGTCCCCGCGTTATCCCGCATCTCCTCGGGGAACACTCGTCGATCCTCATCCACGCGTCTGGTAAAAGAAACGCGAGTGAGAGAGGGAGAGAAAGAGAGAGAGAGAGAAAAAAAGACAGAGACGGGAAGATAGAGACACGCAGAGAGAAAGCGAGCGAGACGAGGCACGGGCACGCACAATGTCAATGACAGCTGCGTCGTCGACGTGAAACCGATACGTTGGACTCGACCTCGCGCGTCGACTCTCGTCGACGTCCCGAGCTCGTCGTTCGCCCGAATCTTCATTCCGCGTTCTCCCTCCCTCCTCTCTTCTCCTCGCCATTCTCATCGAGGAGTTCACGTCAGCCTCTGCCGATATACAGGGTGTCCCGATCCCACGCGAAACATCAAAACGCGATAAGGATTGTCTTCCGAGACGGCCTATCCTTCACATCTCTCTCGTAACCCGAAATAACCGAGTGCATAGATTCGAAGGTAAATCCGATCTTAGCGGAAATGTTAGATAAACACAAAGAGCGCTCGCCGATTGAATTGAAACGAAGCCTGCTGCGTCAGCAGCTTGATGCGCTTAATCGTGCCGAGATATTTCGGCGGAGAGCATAGAGTCATCGGGATTTTAGTCACCGGGTTGTCGGCCGGATTCTTTGCGGATCCGGAGCCTCAAGGAACTCGTCATTAAAATTTGATGCAGCAAGGCACACGACGGGTCAGTATGTCTCTCTCTCTCTCACTCACTCACTCACTCTCACTCTCTCAC